TCCCCCAAAATGATGTCTGAAAACTGATAAAATGTGGGCAGCATTAACAACAGAATTAACCAAACATGCCCCATTGTGGCTTACAGGAGAGACTGAGCCTTTGAATTTTTCTTTCCTTTTTTTTTTTTTTAAATCAATGAAGCCTAAGCAACATGGTGAGACCCCATCTCTACAAAAAATTAGCATGGTGGCATGTACCTGCAGTCTCAGCTACTCGGGAGGCTGAGGTGGGAGGATAGCTTGAGCCCAGGAGGTCAAGGGTCTGCGGTGAGCCATGATCATGCCTCTGCACTCTAGCCTGGGTGACAGAATGAGATCCTGGCTCAAAAAAACAAAAATGGGCTGAGCATGGTGGCTCATACCTGTAATCCCAGCACTTTGGGAGGCCCAAGAGGGTGGGTCACTTGAGGTCTGGAGTTTGAGACCAGCTTGGCCAACATGGTAAATTGAAACCCTGTCTCTACTAAAAATACAAAAATTAGCTTCATGTGGTGGTGCGCGCCTGTAATCCTAGCTACTGGAGAGGCTGAGGTGGGAGGATCACTTAAATCTGGGAAGTGGAGGTTGCAGTGAGCTGAGATCATGCTACTGCACTCCAGCCTGGGCAACAGAGTGAGATTCTGTCTCAAAAATAAATAAATTAAAAAAAATAAAAATAAAGGCCAGGCATGGTGGCTCATGCCTATAATTCCAGCACTTTTGGAGTCCAAGGTGGGTGGATCACCTCAAGTCAGGAGTTTAAGATCAGCCTGGCCAACATGGTGAAACCCTATCTAAACTAAAAATTAAAAAAAAAAAAATTAGCTGGGCATGGTGGTGGGTGCCTGTAATCCCAGCCACTTCAGGAGGCTGAGGTAGGAGAATTGCTTGAACCCAGGAGGTGGAGGTTGTAGTGAGCCAAGATAGCACCATTGCACTCAAAAAGAGCAAAACTCTGTCTCAAAATAAAATGAAAGTAAATAAAAAATCACAATTCTAGGCTTGCTCAATTTTCTCACCTTCTAGATGAGAATGATCAAGATGATCAGGTGAGGCGGCTCATGCCTGTACTCCCAGTGCTCTGGGAGGCTGAGGCAGGAGGATCGCTTGAGCCCAGGAGGTTGAGGCTGCAGTGAGCTGTAATTGTGCCACTGCACTCCAGCCTGGGTAACAGAGCAAGACCCAGTCTCAAAACAAAAAACAAAATTATCAAGATACTCAATTGTGGATACCATCTCATGCCAGTCAGAATGGCGATTACTAAAAAGTCAAGAAACAGCAGATGCTGTTGAGGCTGTGGAGAAATAGGAACTTATTTACACTGTTGGTGGGAGTGTAAATTAGTTCAGCCATTGTGGAAGACAGTGTGGCGATTCCTCAAAGACCTAGAACCAGAAATACCATTTGGCCCAGCAATCCCATTACTGGGTGTATTCCCAAAGAAATAGAAATCATTCCATTATAAAGACACATGCACACATATGTTCACTGCAGCCCTCTTCACGATAGCAAAGACATAGAATCAACCCGAATATCCATCAGTGGTAGACTGGACAAAGAAAACGTGCTACGTATACACCATGGAATACTACAAAGCCATAAAAAGGAAGAGATTGTATCCTTTGCAGGGACATGGATGGAGCTGGAAGCCGTTATCCTCAGCAAACTAACGCAGGAAGAGAAAGCCAAGCACTGCATTTCTCACTTAGAAGTGGGAGCTGAACAATGAGAACACATGGACACAGGGAGGGGAACAACACACACTGGGGCCTGGTGGGGAGTGGGGGAGGGAGACCACCAGGATAAACAGCGAATGCATGCCAGGCTTAATACCTATGGGCGATAGGCGCAGAAAACCACCATGGCATATGTTTACCTGTGTAACAAACCTGCATGTTCTGCACATGTATCCTGGAATCTAAAATATAATTAAATGAAAAAAAAAAAGGATGCTCAATTGTGGGATGGCCTGGTTCTCAATAGCATGCAATCCAGAGCAAAGCCTTGCTTCCTTGAGCTATTTTCCAAAACATACAACACCAGCATGAACCCTAAACACGTCCTTACGGAGATGCCTCGGGTTTCCCAAGATCTGTGCACGCTTCTTGCATCGCATCAATAAACCCATTTTGTTCAGCTGTCAGCGTGTTCCTGGTGGTCTTGGAGAGGCAGGGCCGGCTTCATGTGTGTGGGACCTGTGCGATTCACAGAGCTCTGCACTTAGAAGCATTAATCCCTGGGCTAGATTAATGCTTGGCTGCTGCCATATTGAATTCTTTTAATTTTTTTAGAGACAGGATCTCTTTCTCTGTTGCCCAGGCTGAAGTGCAGTGGCATGATCACAGCTCACTGCAGCTTCAAGCTCCTGGGCTCAAGCGATTCTCCTGCCTCAGCCTCCTGAGTGGCTAGGACTACAGGTGTGGCCACCACACCCAGTTAATTAAAATGATTTTTTTTGTAGAGATGGGGTCTTGCTATGTTGCCCAGGCTGGTCTTTTTTTTTTTTTTTTTTTTTTTTTTTTTTAGATGGAGTCTCACTCTGTTGCCCAGGCTGGAGTGCAGTGGTGCGATCTCGGCTTACTGTAACCTCCACTTCCTGGGTTCAAGCAATTCTCCTTCCTCAGCCTCCCAAGTAGCTGGGATTACAGTCGCCCGCCACTACGCCAGGCTAATTTTTTGTATTTTTAGTAAAGACGGGGTTTTACTATGTTGGCCAGGCTGGTCTCAAACACCTGACCTCATGATCCACCTGCCTTGGCCTCCCAAAGTGCTGGGATTACAGGAGTGAGCCACCACATCCAGCCTCATTTTTGTATTTTTAGTAGAGATGGGGTTTTGCCATGTCGGCCAGGCTGGTGGCCAACTAACTCCTGACCTCAGGTTATCTTCCCAATTCGGCCTCCCAAAGTGCTGGGATTATAGGTATGAGCCACCACACCCAGCCAAACCAGGCTGGTCTTTAACTCCTGGGTTGAAGCCACCATGCCTGGTTTGAAATTCTTAATAATTTTTGAACAGGGGGCTCCCTGCGTTCGTTTTTCACTGGGCCCCAGAAGTGACACAGGCAATTCTGCTAAAGGGCAGGGCCAGTGGGTGTGGAAGAGGATGTGAGAAGTGGGTGAATTCGGGACTTTTAGGCTAGGATCCTTAAGACTGGCTGATAGTTTGGATTTGGGTGGGAGAATGCAGGGAAGAGAGAGGAATCACTCCTCACTGTGGGTCTGGGACTTGGGGAATGAGTGTCCTTTATCCAGATGGGAAATATCGGGTAAACAAGTCAAGCAGATTTTGGAGTGGGCAAGTGAGGTCAATTATCTGTTTGGCGAAAATAAACTTCCTATGAAATATTACATAATAGGGATGGGATATTACATTAAAAAAATTGCTGACCAGCCAGGCATGGTGGCTCATGTCTGTAATCCCAACACTTTGGGAAGCCACGGTGAGAGGATCAATTAAGGCCAGGAGTTTGAGACCAGCCTGGGCAACATAGCAACACCCCATTTCTACAAAAATTTTTTAAAAAATTAGCCGGAAGAGCAGAAGATCAAACACCGCATGTTCTCACTCATAGGCGGGTGTTGAACAATGAGAACACATGGACACAGGGAGGAGAGCACTACACACTGGGGTCAGTTGGGGGGAAATAGG